AATGTGCCCTCATGATCCTGGCAGAAACCCAAGACCTTGGCCTTATCAATGCCACCAACAGTGCGCTGCAGATGTGAGTGCCCGGGGAAGGGGGCTCCTGGCCGGGGAGGCAGGGGGGTGAAGAAAGAGCTGTCCGCTTTCTGGAGCGCACAGTAGCCATTCAGCACCCTGGCCACTCTGGCGGGAGAGGGGTAAGGGCAGCTGGGCATCCCACTGACTCCTTGCTCCTTCCTTTTCTGTTCTGCCAAGGCCACTCCACATTGCTGCCCGGAATGGTCTAGCTTCTGTGGTGCAGGCCCTGCTGAGTCGTGGGGCCACAGTCCTGGCTGTGGATGAAGAAGGTGGGTGGCGTGTGGAGTCCCATACCTCTCCCAGGTTTGGGGTCAGGGACATTCTCCAGGAGGTGACTTCTTAACCTTGCTATAAACTAGATTTTCTTCCCAAGGGAACGCTTCAGAGCAGGGACCCAACACCAATATGCTAGGGTCTCTGAGGGGAGTCTGAGGGAACTAGGTAGAGCCAGCAGGGTCGTCAGGAATACCTCCCACACATCCCAGCCACCTGTCTCCCTGCTCTGCCCTTTACCCCACACTTTGACAGTCTGCCTGTCAGCCTCCCTGGGCCCTTGTAACCCTTGAATTCGGACCATGTCGGGTGCTTGCCTGCCTGGGCTCCCCTCCACAGATCAGAGAGCTCAGGGCCCAGGGAGGGTGGATGGGGACCCAGGGATACAGGACCCTGTGCCTCAGGTCTCCCCCTTTGCCCTGCAGGTCACACCCCAGCACTGGCCTGTGCCCCCAACAAAGATGTGGCAGACTGCCTGGCCTTGATCCTTTCCACCATGAAGCCTTTCCCACCCAAGGACGCTGTCAGTCCTTTCAGCTTCAGCCTGCTCAAGAACTGCGGCATCGCGGCAGCCAAGACGGTGGGTGGCTGCGGTGCACTGCCCCACGGGGCCTCCTGCCCCTACAGCCAGGAGCGGCACGGCGCCATTGGGTTAGATGGCTGCTACTCCGAGTAGCCCCCCTCCAGTGTCCCTCCCCCTGCCGGTGGCTTGATATCTTATTCTATTTATTTAGAAAAAGTCTATACATTTAGGGCACTTTAAAGGAGAACACGACTAGGTGGGGGGCGGAGGGGGGAAAAAAGCACTGGGGAGCAGCTGCTCACCCCTTGGCCACACCATCCTGGCCTGGCAGGGGTCTGGGACCTACAGGGAGCGCCCCAGGCCCTTGGTACCCCCAGGGCAACCCCTTCTGCCAAGTGTCCGAAAATGATTGCTAAATGCCTGGCTGCCCCTCTCTTTGACCCCGTCTCTCAGTTCCCTCTTTCTGCTGCCAGCTCCCCCGACTCTCCCCTCTGACTCCTCTCTGTGTCCTCCTGCTCCCACCCCTGCTGCCAGGCAGTCCCCTCCTCTTCTCTCATACCCATCACTGCCTCCCTGCTCTGCTGGCCCCTCCATCCCCGCAGCAGTGAGAAGCCTTAATTTCTGGTACTGTGTGAGCACTCTGGGGGTGTCCCCCTCCCCCTTCAGGGGCAGCTAGTGGACGAGGGGGGAGGGTATTTAGCACTGGGGCCTGGAGCTCCCCCCCCCCCTTCTGTACCCTATCACCCCTAAAGTTCAAATGCAGAACACTTGAAGCAGCAACTACTGTACCTGGGCCCCGTCCTGGTCCTGCACTCCCCGGCTCCTCATATGCAAATCAAGGGCTGGTTCTGCCCCCACAGCCTGCCCCTCCCTGCCTCCCTCCCTCCTGGCCTGGCCCCCTAACCACGCACTTTAGCCTTGCTTCTTTCTTTTAACTTCTTTTGGAAAGCAGAGCCTGTGGCCATTCCTTCCCTGGCTCTCCTCTCCCTTAACTTTGAGGCTTGTCATGAATTTTTAAGTAAGCGTTTTATCCTTTAGGGGAAGAAACAAATTAATTTCCTGTCCATTTCAAAACCACAGCCCTCGTGTGTCCTACATGTTTCAGGCATGTGTTTGCATGTATGTAGAGGGAGGGACTGTGTTCTTCCTCCTGTGCTCCCCAGCCCCATAGTTCCTCTGTGCCCCCTGTCTGCCGCACCTTCTGTTATGTCCAAGAGTACCCACTGCCCCCAGTCACTCCTGATCTGAAGCCAAAGATGGTGGGAGGGGCAGGGAAGACTGGGGACCATGGCTACTCGGGATGTGAGGAGGAAGCTCTGATCTAGGGAGCAATGAACAGATCCTGAGGCTCAGTCCCTGCCTTCCTAGCAGGGGAGTGGGAGGGGATTGAGCTGGGGGCTGCACTGAGAAGATTCCTCAAAGTCGCACCCCAAAAGCCAAACTGGGCCAGAGTGAGGAGGGGGCAGTTTTCTCTCTAAATGTAGCATTGAATTTGGCCCTGGTCCCGTCAAACGCCCTGTCCATCCATCTCCCAGCTAAGCCTCCTGGACAGTTGGACCTGCTCCCGTAGCCCAGTGTTCCCTTCCTCACACTCAATACCTCAGCCAGGGGCCAAGACACAGAACTTGAATAGAGGTCATGCCCCCTCCGCCCACAGTGCATCCTTGCCCAGTTTGGCTGCCATCAGTATTGTCCCCTGAGAACTGGACAGGCTTCGTTTACACAGTACGGGGTCTCCCCCCGGGGGTCCCTCAGTCTCCTTCCCCCACCCCTGCTTGCTTTATTCACACTCTTACCCACTTTTCAGTGTGTCCCCTGAAAGTCCTGCCACCCTTGCCGAGGGCGGGCTGAGGGGAGAGGGGACATCCCAGGGACCCCTCCCTCCCTATCAGATGCCCTTAACCATACCTCACGCTGGTTCCCTGAAGCCTGGGGTGTTTGTCCAAGTCCTTATTCTGTTTGTCACGGTCCCTTTTTATGCCCTGTCTCTCTGTCTTGCTTCCCCCACCCCTCAGTTCCTAAACCATTTCAAAGCTTCTAAATGACCATTATTGGTGAGAAGGATTGTGCAGCTTTTAGTTTTTATTTTTGTTTTCAAAGCCAAAGGGCCTTGCGACGCCCCTCTTGCCCACCCCCCTTCACATCGTCCTCCCCTATACGACAATCAGTGTGACCTCTTAAGGGCTGCAGCCCCCCTCCCCCAACCCTGCTGGTTCTGCAAAGCTTGCTCCCTAACTTCAAGTCTCTCTCCTAAAATCTTCCCATTCCACCCCCTCCCTCTCATTTTGGTGCTGGGAATTAGGTGGTAGGGGGCAAGGGGAGCAGGGAGATGCGTCCTCCAGAGAGGACTCGGGTTTCAGTCGTGTTCTCCTTTATCAATGTTCGGCGATGACAGGAAGAATCTATTTGTCAGGAGCCCCGTTGTTCTGCTAGATGAGATTTCTGGTGGCTGCCCATTCCCTGCTGCCTGCCGCTCAGCACACCGTCAGCAGTGCTGGGGCAGGTTATGGGGCGTTCTCTGTCCCTCCTCACGTGGCTGTGAGGAGGCCTGGAGGACGAGCAGCCTCCTCTCCTTATGCCAAAGGAAATCCCACACCCCACCCCGGGCTCCCCAGCCCCTAGTGTTTTTTGAAGCATTTTGACCATTCTCATGGCCTCTGCATATTTATTTTAATGTTAAGATTTTTTTTAAACCTCTTTGACTTAAACGGGTGTGGAGAAGTAAAACAGGCAGAATGCCCCCCAATCTTAAGGGGGTAGGGTGGGGAGGGAACATCTCCTTCCCTTTGCCCTCCTTCCTCTCCTCCCCCTCTCCCCACCGCAGCTCTAAAGCACTTGCTTCAAGTAATAAGCACTTTTGAGAAAAGGCCTATTTTAAGTGAGGACCCTGGGAGCAGCCCCAGGTCCCAGCAAAGGAGACAGAGCGAGGGCTACATTGGAGACAGGGAGACAGACGTGTGAGTCGGAGGGCGAGATGAAAAGAGCCAGTTTTTAGTTTCTGATTTTTGGGGAGATGTTTCTGATTGGGCGGTGGCTTTGGTAGGGTTGTGAACTATCCTTCAGAAAAACAAATGGCACAAACTGTGGGTCCCAGGCTGGACCAACAGACCCGGGTCACTGCCACTGTCCAACTGAGACTGATGGGCCACCTCCCCCATGTGGCCCCCTGAGCCATAGGACTGCTGAAACCACTGAATGTACAGCCCGGGTTGGGGTGGGGAGCAGCCCCTGGGGGAGGGGGCTTCTCCTGTTGTTTGGTGCTGTGGGGGGTGGGAGAGACGAGACTGAGGGACGCCACCCCACTTAGACATGTGTTCCTTGGGGTGGAGGGGCTGAGGGGGCCTGCCTCCCTCTCCAGCCCCGGCCGTGGCCCCTCCTCCTTCCTCATCCCTATCCGTTTTGACTGTAAGTCCAGCTCACCTTTGCCTTCAATATGTAACCAAAGGAAAACTCAATACTGTTTCCACCGCTGTCTGCCCACCCGAGCACCTTCTGACTCCCTGGACCTAGAGGGGGAGAAGAGGCCGGGGGTGGGGGGGTGGCGTGGGGCCAGAGTGAACGGTTCTACAGCTGTACCCCCAAAACCTTCTCTGGGGTCTTGGAAGGACCCTGAGAGGCGGGGTTGGGGCCAGGCTGGAGGGGCTGGACAGGCACACTGTGTCTTGTGCACTAGTGTTTCTTCATCTGAATGACTCTAGTGACTGTGCTCCAGCAGGAGGCCCCTTCCTCCTCCCCTCTCCGCCATTTCTCACCCTCTCCCACACCCAGTGTTCATCCCCCACCTCCCCTTCCCACCGCAAAGGAAAATAGCCTTACAGACCCTAGCCCAGAAGCCCTCCTCCTGGGGCAACCGGTATGGGGCCCCGTCCTGCCTAGTTTGAACCCTACCTTTTAAGAAGGAGGGCCCCTTCCCCTCTGATCGTGGTGGCTCCAGCCCTCCGCGGCCTTGACCCAGGTTGGGCAAGGGTGGAGGTGAGGAATCTTTGAGGACCAAGCCCAGTGGTCTGGGAAGAGGGAGGTAGAGAGGGAAGGGTCTGACCTGGGGACTCCCTCCTCCCGACCCAACCCCTAGAGAAGCGACCAAATCCCAGAGATGGGAGGAAGCTGGGGTGGGGAGGGTCTGCTCTGTGAATTACTTGAAGGTACTGACTCCGAGGCTGCTGTTGCCCACTTAGGTGTGAGGGGGACACTGTCACTGCATTTGGGAGGGCAGAGGGCGGCGGGTGACGAGAGGATCCGCCCTTGGCCCTCGCTCATTCCCGCTAGGCCCTTTCCCTGGGGAGCCTGGCTTTGCCCCCCGGGAAGTCGGGAGAGCCTTCCCCTCCCATCTCCCCCTCACTCTGGGCACCCTCTGCAATTGCACTAAAGTAGCTGTTGTGCCAGTCTGACCCCACGCCAGGGTGGGGTCTCTGCTTCCAGTCCTTTCTTCCCCCACTGCCTCTGCTCCCCTCCCGGACAATCTCCTTGTCCCCTGTATTCCTGGATAGCTCAGCTTTGTATGTGTGTGTTTGGGGGGTGGGGTGGGTTCTGGCTGGAGTGGGTTTGGGAGGGGTTTGGGAAGGGCTAGGGGAAAGATGGAGGATGCAGTCTCCTACGCCCTTCCTCAACTCCGAGCCACAGAAGCCTGGGAGGGAGGGAGCCTACTCTCGCTGCCGTGTCTTGCAGATGTGCCAAAATGGGGGTGGGTGGGAGGGGAGGGTGCCTGGCAGAGCGGCCCCCAGGGTGGCTCTCTCAAAGCAATACAGTTCCTCCTGCCTGGGGGACGGCAAGACAGGGGAGAGGGTTGGGTTGGGGACCTGGGGGTTCCCTGTGTACAGCTGTGTATATTCAGGGGTGTTCTCTGTCTGGTACCCACTGTGGGCGTCTCTGTGTGTGTGAACCTCCCCTTCCCCATGCCCTGCATGACCTGTGATGCTGCAGACACCACCATCCTGTGTGCAGGGGTGTGTGTGGGGCACTGAGGGGCACATTCATGTCCTGGTGCACCCTCCACCCTGTGATCCATGTACTCGGTTGTAGGAAGTAAAGAGAACTGAGCACAATTCACTGGATTCTAGTTGAATCTTTCTCTAAGCAATTTTCCCGTTCCTGCCCTTCTCCCTGCCCCGGATCCACCAGTGGTGCTAGCGTTGGGGTCGGGGGTGTTTGATGCTGGTGGGCAGCAATAAAGGGCAGATCTGCCCAGATGCCTGTATCGCCAGGGTGCTGAGGGCAGCAGGAAAAAGTGGGGACCTCGGTGCATTTGCCCCACCCCTCCCCGCTCCTGGGCTAAAGCACAATGCTCTCCCTGCAGATGGATGCACCCGCACCCTCCAGGCCCCTACTCATGTCCTCCCCTGACCCGCTTTGAGCCCTCCTGCCACATCCTGGTTTTCTATGCTGTTTGGTGCAAGTACAACTGTCGTAGTCATGGCTTTGGGATGGGTTCTGTTTATTAAAATCCTATTGCTCCTACTGGCCCTGTGTCCCGCCTCCATTCCTGTGGTTGGGAAGAAGGAAGGGCAACCTGCACGCCTTTCCACTGGCCCCCATCAGCCATCAGAGACCAGGGGCTGTAGCTTCTCCTCCAGCAGGGCGATGGTGAGCATGATGCTGCCCCCCAGCAGCAGACCCAGCCCCTGCAGGAGCACATCGAGCGTAGGGAGGGGCTCAGGGGGACGAAGCAGGGCTGGTAGCTGAAAGAAAAGAAGCAAGTCAGGATCCTGGCTTTGTCTCTGCCCCTGAAACGTGACAGGGAGGGGTCAGAAAGCATCAGCAGCCGCCACCCAAACTCTTCCAGGCCCTTGTTTCTTAGACTCTGTGGGCCTGTGGTCCAGCACCCTTCCACCACAGGTGGCCAGTGGTGGAGGTGGAGGGACTGATACTTCCCTCTCCTCCACACCCACCTCCCCACTTCCCTTGGTTTCTCTGCACTTCCCCACACCTCTCACCATGTCCACGAGGGCCACATAGAGGAAGACCCCGGCAGTGACCCCAAACACCCAGGGAGTGAGGGGGACAGGGCCCAAACTGAGCCCCACCCCCAGGGCTGCACCCCCCAGTCCCAGGGCTCCAGACACCAGGCTCAGCAGCAGCAGCTGCCGAAAGGACAGCCCTGCCTGGAGCAGCACTGCAAAGTCACCTGTTGGGAAGAGAGGACAGGGCAGAAGGGAGTGAGCTAGGGTTGCCCCTCACCCCTGTCACCTGCCAGCCTCCAAGTTCCACCCTGTGGAGGTCTCTCCCTTCTGGAGTCCACCCCACCCCACTTCTGCCATTCCTACCGAGTTCGTGGGGCAGCTCATGGCAGAAGACTGCTAGGGTGGTGCTGAGGCCACTGGAGAAGCCATCAGAGAAGGCAGCACCTGGGGTTGGCAGGATTGGAGGTTGTCAGTTGGGAGAAAGTTCTCCCCAGGGGCAGGAGCCTGCATTCCCTCTGTGATCCTCTGCTCTCTCCCCTTCTGGTAGCCCTCTCCTAGCCCCAGCCAATAACTAGGAGCCCTGACCTCTCCTCTGACCTGCCTCCCTCCATCCCCTCCCCTCACACCTATGGCCAGCCCATCGGTGAGGTTGTGCAGACCGTCTCCCAGGAGGACCATCCACGTGATGTTGGCTCCACCACCCCCCTGGTGCCCGTGACTGTGGCCTTGGTGCCCAGGAGGGACAGGGGCTGGTGGGGGCTGGCTGTCTTGCTCTCTGTGGCCCCGAGCCCCTGTCTCTGCGAGAAGAAGGACAAGGACAGTGTTGGCGGCTGCAAGTGCGAGCTGGGAGCCTGGAGCCTACTCTCCACTTTCTCCTCTAGTCACCTGGAGCTGCCTGTAGGGGCTGAAGGGCCATCCCACTGCCATCCTCTGGGTCCAGGTTCGGTGTTCCGAGATCCTTTTTTTTCTGCCTGCAGCATCTCTGAAATAGGAGGGTATCCCTCCCGGTGGAGGAGGCAGCAGAGCTGGGCTGAGGAGAGGCCAGGCTACCAGGTGGGAAAATGAACACCTGATTCCGCCTCTGGCACTTGGGGATGTTTTTTGGCCTCCCTACTATTCCCAGGTTGGCACCTCCCTGTTTCTTGTTGACTTGAGCTCAGGAGAGGAGGCCGTTCGGCCAGAAGTTCTGGGTCTATGCTGAGGAGCCCTACCCGCTCCCTGTGAGCTGCCAGCTCCTGCACAGTCAGGCAGGCATCAGAGAGCCAGGAGCACACTCGGCCCCTCACCTCCTGGCTCGTGTGGCCAGTTTGTGGCTAGGACTCAGGTCTCAGCAGAAGGAGGAGAAAAAGGTGTCACTCACTGGCCTGAGCCCTCGGCGCCGCAAAAGCCCTAGTGTGTTCTCCAGCACGAAGAGCAAGAGGAGACCTCCCAGCACCGACAGCCCTGGACCCAGGTCCTCCGCTGGCTGCCCGCTGGGTCCGGCGTGCTGCCCTCCTTGTGCCTGACAGAGAGGAGGTCAGGGCAGACCCTGGGGGCCCAGGCCCCGACAACAGCCCCCTCCTGCATGGGAGGTGGCAAGCCTTCACTCCTAGGCTCTACTAGAAGGCAGCTGAGGGCTGAAGCTGGGGAGGGGGAGTGGAACGTGGGGGCTGACAGAAAGGGGGAGGGGATGTCCTATGACTGGGAACACCTCGGATACGAGGGGGTGGGGAACAAGGAAGGGGCATCACGTACATGTGGCAGCAGGTGTAGCAGCGCGTCCCCACAAAGAGTGCCCACGGCCAGGGCCCCCAGGAAGCCCAGCAGGGGCCGCAGTAGACGAGGTCCCAGGAGCCGCAGCAGCAGCAGGGAGAGGGGAGCAGGGAGGCTGAGCAGGAGGACGGCCAGGGCGCTATGAAGCAGGGCTGGGAGAGTCAAGGCTGAAGTTAGGCCAGGGCTGGAGGGAGGGCCTCAGGGGCAAGGTGGGGCAGAGATCCCCTGCAAAGGCAGGACCCCAGTGAAGCCCCTTCCTTGGCTTGGGGCCCCCTCCCTACTAGGATTCAGGGTGCCCCACACCCACTCTCACCGACTGACCAGATAATAGATCCCCTGGGGGGGGTGGGTCTGGGGCCTGGATGCAGACACGGCTCTCGATCTGATAAAGCAGGGCTGGACACAGCAGAGCAAACTGACGGGGGGTCAGAGGAGCAGCGGGGCTCAGGCCAAAGTTGACCAGCAGCTGGGAGCCATTGAGACACTAGGGGAGTTGGGGTGGGGGTCATGCATTGAGGAATCACCAAGAATGATGTCTCAGATCTGTAATGCCTGCCCTTCCATGCGTGGATTCCTGGGTCTTGCCCAGGGTCCCCTTTGCTCCCACTGGTGGGTGCATGAGGGACTGGGGACAGGTCGTATAATCAGTGTGTGTTAATTATTAGTGAATATTCAATCCAATGCAAATATTCATTTCAGTGCAAACTGGGTGCTAGTGAACGTTGCCAACCATCACCCTTCCTCCTAAGCCCCTGATGATTTCATTGATTTGGTGTTGGAGTTGACTGGACAACTAGAGCCCTCCATTCCAGAATGTTAGAAGGGAAAAGAACCTGAAATGCCATCCAACCTTCCACTCAACAGCCCTGTCACATCTTCATCCAGCCTTGGCTTGAATGCTTCCTGTGATGGGGTGCTCACCCTCATCGGGCCTGCTTCAGGGTTAGCTTTGGCTGCCCTCTGGTGTACTTGGAACAAGTTCTCTGTCTTTCCAGATGAAGATGGCTGTCCACTCCCTGCCGGTCTCCTCTCCAGATAACCAGCCCCAGATCCTACCCTGGCCTGCTTCTCTGGATTCTCTGCTTTGCCGAGTGTGCCCCCTAAACTGGGTCTTAGAATTCTGGGTGTGAGCTTATCTGCTCTGAGCGCAGGGGGAACATATTTCAGTATTGGAATAACATACCCTAAGACCACACTTGGACTTTTTGAAAAGTAAGTGTATTAAATTACTAGTTCTTGAAACATTTCAGGCCATCTAAATCCCAAGACTCCTTCCCCTTCTCTAGAGATCATCAGACTCACATCTTCATTCAGATGGTCAGCTAGCGAATGGTCCAGCAGCAGAAGCCTGTGAAAGAGGCCCAGGCCCGCGGGGGCTGGCCCATGGGGTGGTGGTGGGGCCTTTGGCTCCTCCAGGTCACCCCATCCTGATGGACCCAGAGGCAGCCCTGCCCAGACATCCACACTCAGGTCAGGGTCCTGTGGCCTGGAATGGATGGGATAGCAAGTCAGACTCCCTCATGTTCTCTTAGAAACTCCCCTTGAGAGGCTCCCAGGGAGCTTAGGGGGAAGGGGAGGACCAGCCACTGGCTGGAGTTCCTGGGACCCAGAAACTGTGGAATGTCAGTCCTGGGAGGATGTGAGAATCATCAGTGTATAGGAGGGCCTAGGGTTGGGGGCCATGGGGCGAGGGAAAACAGGAGGAGGACAGCACCAAATACTACAAACCTAAGAGCAAGAAACTGAAGGGCCCAGGGATTTGGAAGAAATAATTTAAAGGCAGTAGAGGCAAAAGGGGCCTTGAAGGGAGACAAGGTGTCAGGTTCTGAAAAATTTGTAATTGCAGGACTCTGATTTTAGGAAGCCAGAGCTAGGCAACTGGAAACTGATCCAGCTGGAGATGTGGCATTTTGGGGTAGGGGAAGGGGTTAGTACCTGTGCGTGGAATTGTCTCCAGCTGGGGGTGCAGCCCGACCAGCTGGAGGCCCGTGGTGTCCCAGGTGAAGGCCCTGGACTCGGCCTAGCCCCAGGCTGTGGAGGAGCCGCGCTAGGCCCCCTGCAGTCAGTGTCCCGTTCTCCCCATACAGGCCAAACAGCTGGGCCAGGTAATGGTTCTGCTCCTGCTCAGCAGGGCCCAGGTTGGGGGCTGAGCCCCCTACCCAGCCCAAGGCCACCCACACACACAGGCCAGCCAGAAGATGACTCACTGGGGGCCCCATTATTGGGGGGAACGAGTTAGAGGCTCTGGCTCTGGTTTCTATTTCTCCCAGAACATTCTGAGGACTATGCCCTGGAAGAACAAGGAGGAAGGGTCAAGGCTCCTGCTCTGCTGTCCAGTTCAGGGACAGGGGGGCCCTCACTCTTTGTACCACCCCACCTTGAATCCAGCAGCAGCCCCCACTCTGGCCTCCTTCCTCCCTCCACATTGCCTTTTCCTGGAACAGCTTCTTGTTTGCCAGTTCCTAGAGCATTTTCTGTGACCCAGAGCTCTCCCCTCACCTAATCGAGAGCTGACCACTCATCCCGTCCTCCAAACCACACCCCTCAACTTTGCCCCACCTCTCTATCTCCCCTCAATCCCCAGGACCTCACCCCCACTGTCAGCGTGAGAGCTGTCACCTCAGGTCCCCGTCAGGCTTGCTGTAGACGCTAAGAGGTTCCTGAGTCAGGGAGGGGAGCCAGGCTCAGCCTCCAGGCGCCCAGGTGGAATGGAGGCCACGTCAGGCTGGGATGGACAACCCCCCCACCTCCAGCCCACCTCCCTTGGGGCGGGGTAAGGGGTGGGACCAGTGTGGGAAGGTTCACATCAGACAGGAGTTAATGGTTCACTGGTCTCTGGGGTGGGGGTCAAAGGTCAGTCTTGGCTGGGCCCCTGAGTAGGGAGGGGCCACCCTCTGCCCCTGGAACAGCCACATGGCTCAGAAGAACCTGGGCCTGGCATTTCTACCCCCCAGCCCACTTGGTACCATTTTAGCCTTTCCCTGCACATACTCCCTCTCGACCTTCCTTACACTTGGTGCTGGGCTTCAGTCATCTCCAACCCCCATCCCTGCATTCCCTGCGAAAGTTGGACCCAGGTGTCCCTAAGCTGGAGAGGAAGGGGAAGAGGCAGTTAAGTGGCAATCCCAGATGCATCGGGAAGAAATTGTTCTTAGCAATTCCTCACCCCAGAAGAGTACGAGGCACAATCTGGGAATTGATGACCAAGAAAGGGAAAGCTCTGCGGGAAGAGGAGTCTGGGCTTCCTCAGAGGTCTGACCTGCATTACGTTCAGGGGAGCACAGGCTGACTGGGCGATTGGTGCCCTTGGTCCAGGGGGTCAAGGTTGGCATTACCTGACAGCAGGAGACAGGAAGGACGCCAGAGGAAGGAGGACACAGCCTTCTTGGTTCCAGTTGTGTGGGGGCGCGCCAGGCAGGCAGGCGGGGCAAGGGTCACCTGCAGGGAGAGGGCAGGGGAGGGACACTACCTTAAAGGGGCAGGCCTACTTTGCCCAGGCCTCCTTACCTGTAACCCATCTCCCCTCCACCTCCCAGGGACACCGCACCTCCCCAAATGCCAGCTTCTTCATTTTCCCACAAAAAGCAAAGGAGTCCAGTACAGAGTGGTAACATTTATTAGGAAGGAGGGATTCAGACTTCCACATCACACACACAACAAACCGACTGTAACTGTCGTTTCTAAAGAGGAAGTAGGGCAGGCAGAGGGCCTGAATCCCAGGGGTTGGGCAGCTTCAGCTGGACAAGGGGGGAGTATGGGCTTGGAGTGGATAAGGCCACTGCTCACCACCCCTCCAGTGAAGTTTAGTGGCTAAAATACGGCTACCTCCCCCACACCTCCCAAAGCCAGCCTCCCAGTAGACGGCTGTGTTGCCCTCTAGCAGACACTTGGGTTATGGTTGGTGGCAGGAAGGGAAGAATGTCTTGCTATCTCTTGCTGCTTCTCCGGGTTTCTTTGCCGTTACTGACAGGGTTGCTGGAAGGGCCAGGAGGGCCAGCGGGTGTGTGGTTGGGCTGGCTTCGGGTAATTCGGGTGCTGGGGGGGTGGGAAGGAGTGTGAGGGGGGTGCGGGCCACCACCAGGACCTGGTGGGGCGCTTAGTCCATTCCCGTTCTGGCTCTCAGAGGCTAGTTGTGGGAGAAAGGGAAGAAACACAGGAATTAGAGAAATAAGGTAAGAGAAGTATCCATCCCCAAGGCCTCCCTCCATGCCCCACAGAGTGGCAATCTTGATCACACAACTGCACACAACATCACACATTGCACAACTGCACAGTAATGCCAACAGGACCAAGTGCAAAGAATGTGGGTTGTAGGAATGGAGCCCCAGAGAAGAATCAAATGATTCTGGAAGTTGCTGCATGAACACTAGTATGATATTTTTCTCTTTTATTCATCTCTGTATCATTGAGTCAGACCTAGAATTAGCTGTTAAGTTCTAGGCTCAAGGACCTCTGACAAAATGCTCCTTTGCCAAAAGTTATGGTAAAACTGGGGAAGCATGAGAAGGGGAAGGGCCTGAAGTTTCTGTGTTAAAATGTAAGAGGGAAAAAGAAAACAAAGTGTGGTGTGTATCACAATGATACATGTTCATTTTGGAAAATATAGATAAGAAGAAACAAAAAAATGATTACACATACTCTCACCCCCACTCCCAAAATAATAAGTAACATTTTTGTGTATATGTTAAATGTTTGACTGGAGCCAGATGAGTGGGATGACTTCCTTGGGCTCCCACAACTGTGCGTATCACTCTCATTGCACAGACCACAGTGTGATATAATCATCTTCTGTCTGTCTCCTGCGTAGACTACAAGCTCCTTGAGGCAGGTGCTGTGTTTTCTTCTTTGGCATTCCTCATCTAAGATGTTTATTAAATGAAGGCAGAGGCCTGCCTCTCGCATACGTGGGGCGCCATGAACCCTAAATGGGGAAGATGTCAGAGGCTAATGGTTCTCGGGGCCGGCCCCGTGGCTTAGCAGTTACGTGCGTGCGCTCCGCTGCTGAGGGCCTGGGTTCGATCCCAGGCCCGCACCGATGCACCGCTTCTCCGGCCATGCTGAGGCCGTGTCCCACATACAGCAACTAGAAGGATGTGCAGCTATGACATACAAGTATCTACTGGGGCTTTGGGGGAAAAAATAAATAAATAAAATTATTAAAAAAAAAAAAAAAAAAAAAGAGGCTAGTGGTTCTCAAACCATATCCCTGCTGAACTCCGCTGCTCCACCAGACTTAGATATCTGCAGCCAAAACTCAAGAATAATGCCCTTCCCTCAATTCACAGGAAAAGTCAGGAGAGGGTATAGAAAGTCAATGTTAAGTTTTTATGCCATACGTGTTTTTTGTTAAGCATTTTGTACCTGTTAGCACATGACAAAGCGAGTAAACATCTGGCAAATGAATATTAAGAGCAAACAGGCTTAAATGTACCTTATTTAAAATATTTTTATAAATTATAGAGTTGTGGAGACCATAAAATATGTAATAGTCATATTTTTCAGTTGAAAACACGGATGCTAATTTTTGTGGTGGAATTAAATGTCATTATTTCATGGTGTTCTCAAAAAACACCATGAGCCCTGGTGCCTCTAACACAAACAATTCTGAAAACCATGGTAACTGAGGATGCAGACACAAACTGAGGTAGGGTAGAAGCAGCCTGAAGCCTAGGGTCACAGGGAGAAACCTAAGGCACAGATCAGAGGCAAGAGAGAGCCAAACACCCAGGGAGCAGAGGGTCAGCTGGGAGATGACGCAGGCGAGGAAAGTGCAGTAAAAACCAGGTTCCTAAGGAGAAGCCAGGGGACGAAGGAGGTGGAGTTGTTGAGTGATTCTAATCAAAAGCTGATGAGAGCCAGCTCTGATGGCCTAGTGGTTAAAGTTCGGCGTGCTCCACTTCGGTGGCCCGGGTTTGGCTCCCGGGTGCAGAACCACACCACTCATCTGTCAGTGGCCATGTGTGGTAGCAGCTCACATAGCAGAACTAGAAGGACCTACAACTAGACTATACAACTGTGTACTGGGACTTTGGAGAAGACAAAAAAAAAAAGAGAGAGAGGAAGATTGGCAACAGATGTTAGCGCAGGGCAAATTTTTCCCAGCAAAAAAAAAAAGCAGATGATTTGCAGTAAGGCCCCAATTCCTCAAGAGACCAAAAAGCAGGGGCTTGAAGTACATGAGATGGAAGGATCATAATTCTGAGGGCCAAGGCCTAGAAGCAGGGCCTTTAGTTTCAAGAAGAGTGGTGACCCCAAAAGGGATTAGTGCTCGAAAGCTGTGCGGTGTAGACCCCATGTTAAGTCATATAAGTAACGGTATATTATAACTGTGCAATGAATCGAAATGGGCAAGAGAGAAAGGCAAGGTTCTGCCGGAGAAGCAGCAGAAAGAAACAAGCTGGAATGAAGGGATGCAATCGCATTTTTGCCTTTGAGTGTTAGAGGCAAAAGGGTACCAGAACTCTTTCAGTGATAGAAACAGGTCCCCAAATCTTTTTACCACGTGGGCTTGCAAAAGAACTCGAAGAAGAATTGGGTGGAAGGGGATATATTGAGAGAAGAGAGATGTGGAAAAGGGATGAGGGCAATGCATCTTTCAGGCTGGGGAGAGTAGGGGAGCTAGGAGGAGCAGTGGATGCAAGGGAGAGGTTTACCTGGAGAGGTGGCAGGCGGTCCGGTGGTAGGCTGGGGAGCTGTAGGGCTGCTGTCGTTCTGCACCTGAAGGCACAAATTACATACTCAGACCTTGCTCCCTACTGTGCTCTTGGCCTGACCTGTCCTCCTTCCCCACATCATGGCCATAGGACTCACCGTCTTGTTGGGTGCCTGCTGGGCGCTGTACTCTGGGTTTGGCTCACTGAAGTTAGGAACCTCAGAATAAACCATACAGAATCTGCAAGGGGAGAAAGTGGCCAAAGCCTCAGACTTATCCTCTGGGCCACTGCTGGAGGCCTTAGAAAGGTCCAGATCCAGGATAGCACACCCTTATGCTGCCTCCCTGCAAACCTTAAACTTCCCCCCTTGGCCTGGTACTTCTACATCCCCATCTCCAAGAGAGCACTTACTCTCCAATTTTCTGAAGATCACCCCCACGGCCAGTGTACAGTGTCAGACAACCTTTGAACACTGAAGCGTACCTGTGGGGGCACAAAAAGCAGGATTCAGAGTACTCAGAAGAGTGACAGAGACTGTTAACCCCACCCCCCTTAACTGTTACTGCCCTTGGATGGCCAGGAGTCACCAGCTGGCTTACCCTTTGGTGAGCCGGATAATGTCCCCAGGCTGAATCAAGTTGCCCACGTCGTCCCAGACGGAGATATTGATGCTGCCCGTTTTGTCTGCCACTTTGCAGGTCCGAACCTCATGGCCGTCCTTTGTCTTGGTCACTCGACCTGGAGGGAACAGATAAATGGGGGTGGGGGATGGTCAAATAAACGGGGGCGGGGGTGGTAAGAGGGATGAGATCTAGCTGTGGGCGGGGTGAGGGAAAAGGCGTACAAACAGGGCAAAGCAGAGTCCCTGGGGCAGCCTGGGGGGGGGGGGGACACACCATGGAGAGGGCCCTGAGTGGAAAGAGGCCCGCGTGGCCCTGGAGGCTTGGATCTGGCAAGAGTCCCATCTACCCTACACTCGCTGCATCTCTCTAGGCCTGGGTCTAGGAGAGAGGCTGGGCGGGAGCAGTGTCTTGGAGTGCGCCCTGCCATCCCCGGAGCAAGTTAAGAACGGAGGTGGTGTTTTCCCTCTCCTGTTCCCAACCCCGAGAACCCACGCAGGCCGCCCACCGCCCCCGCATAGCCACCTGTCTCCAGCACAATGAAAATGAGGTTCAGATTCTTGAGCCCGGGCTTGATATCCTTCACGAAGGTCTCCGTCGTCATGCTGCCCGAGCCTCGGCACCCCACTAGAAGAGGGAAAGGGGGATGAAGGCTCAACGCTTGGAGCCTTCGCCCCCATGCTCCACTTCCCAAGGCCCACCTACCACACTAGGCTGGGGTCAGGCAGCCTCTAACTCTTCTAAAAGGTTAGAAACGAACTTCACGGGGGCCTCCAACTTCAAGATCAGAATTGGGGGGGGGGGTCTCTGCATAGGCTGCTTCGGGGCTAGAAGGCCTTCTCCCGAGATGCTCTTTCAGTCTGAAGCCCTGAAGTGGGGGAGCCGACGGAGACGCGGGTAGGGAATCTGGTGCAGTGCACTCGCCAAACCTTCCCGAACCCTCATCCGGACAACACGGGGCTCGGTCCATCCCCTCCCCCACCCAGCCCACCACCCACCCAGCCAGCCGGACGGACAGTGCACACCGCTGAGCCGCCTGCAGGGGGAGCCACAGGCCCCAATGCCGCCAGATGCCGCCCGATGGAACGCGGGAGTGCGGACATTCCCGGAAGTTTCCCCGGGCTGGTCTCCTCCGGCCAATCGGCAGCGCCCTGGAGCGCCCCGCGCCTCACCGCCGGCCCCAGCCCAGCCAATCGGGATCCGAGATTCACGCGCCGCGACGGGGGTGGCTTTCAGGAATTAAAGGAGCCTCGGACACGGTTGGCTCCCCAAGGAGAAAAATACACCACCAGGGGGCGCCTCGGGTCCCAATTTTCCTTTACTTGGCTGGGAGAATGCGCTTAGACTCTCTTAGGATTTTGTTTCTCTCCTAGACGTGACACAGTGGAAAAAGGACCAAGGATTTTGGAATACGGCGGACAAAAGTTTGGAACCCGGCTCAGCACTTCACTTCTTTTCTCAATAATTCCTTAGTATCTAATTCCATTTTGCAGACGAGAAAACGGAAGTTATATAAAAAGCAGTGCCTGGCAATTTCCTCCTCTTCTCCCACTGGTCTAACCCTCATCTTTATTCCTGATTTGGGGTCCCCATTTAATGCACTACCTAGTGGCATAAACACTAGTAAAAAGTGGCATTTACACCAGAGACAGACAATAGGCAGACTCATCCCCTTTGGAAGAAAGGGAACCCGGAACCCAGGCACAGAGAGCAACATTTCCATCAGTCCCTCTCACAGTTCGAAAGATAATGCAATTATCTCACTAGATCTCAGGGTACCCCTGAGAGGTACTGAAAAGAGGAGGCCCGAACCTTAGCTCCCTTTGGGACTTGTTAGATAGTCAACAAAAAGTAGCCAGCTCTGTAATGTTTTGTATAAACCAATTACATAAAACAATGCACATGTGCATTACCATTTGCTTAGCGAATATCCATAACAAATACTATTTAATATCAGATTAGCCTAAGAGGTCATGTAATTGTATTGCCTTGGCTTGCTTAATTAATCCCTCCCTTCTCCTAGAGCGCTTTAGACTCCACCCTGACTTTCCTCGGAGCGCAACTTCTCTCCTGCCCACACCCACACCCGCGGTTCTGTATCCTAAGGAAATCAAACCACAACCCAGGAAGACGGACATTTGATCTTCCTTCTCTCCCCTTAGGTGTTCGGAAGAGCCAACGTAGATATGGCAGGAGTGCGGCTAGGAGAGAAACGGGCAACTCGTTGGGCACCCTAGATCAAAGCTTTTCGGCCAGACACTCCCCCATTCCCCACCCCTGGTCGCCTTGTTGACTACTGTATCCACTCCCATGACTGTGAGTCATAGGGTCGGGAGGCTCCGGGATGCTGACCACGGCTCTGGAACGGCAAAGGGGCCGGGCAGATGGCAGGTCACACTGCAGGCCAGCCTCCTCGCGACGATTTCGCAGCACGCCGCATCAGCCTTACGGGACACGTGCGTCCCTCCGAAGCGAAGTCTTGCCCTGCAAAGCAGTCAGCCTCCTGCTCGACCTCTGACGTTCACGCTGGGAAGAACATAGAGTTCTCCCTCCCAAATGGCTATATAGTCCTCGTTGGGACCACAAAGACTTCGGCCTAGAGCGGAGGCCTGGCTAGCCCTCCTCCCTCGTTGTTGGCCGCTCGTGGCTTCTAGTCTAGGTCCGAGTTAAACAAAGAGGCGGAGTTTGGTGACGGGCTTCCGCCGGGTTGCGTAGCAGCGGTGGGCGGGGCAAGTCAGCCGTCTCACACGGCGACGAGTGGTCGGAACCTCCTTCCCTCTCCTTCCCCTTCCCCTTCCCTTCCCAGGAAAGGCTGGGACCCGGCACCCGGGCTATCCCGTGGCCGCTGCGGCCTCAGCTCCAGCCCGGCCAGGGTACGGAGAGGCCAGACCGCGTCCAGGGCGGTGCGTACTGCGCCTGCGCGGGCTCCCACCGAAAAGAGGGTGTGGGAGGGGAGGGGGCCATGTCCCAGGGGGACTGGGGTAGGGGTTCGAGATATTGGAGGTTAGAAGGGAAGAGAGTAAAGATGAAAAATTGAGGAAGGGAGCAGCAATAGGGAGGAGTCGGGAGATGAGAGAGGGGCGCTGGACGGTGAGTTGTTGGAGAGGTCCATTGGAGTAGGGGAGCTTTAAGTGCGGAGGGGGCCCGGGCTGGTTGGAGGACAGGGAGGAGGGGACCTGGGGAAACGACGTGGTGTTTAAATGGGCAATGATTGATGGCTTGGGAGGGCGGAAGGGAACCTTCTGGGGGCCAGCGTGGGCAGGGGTGGTGGAACGTGAACCCCCGCCCTCGAAGCGCCATTGCTTGGCTCCTCTCCCATGCCTTGTCTTTGGCAGCCTTGTCTTCCTCCTCCATTCCTTCCCCCCTCTCCCCCTCCCACCCCTCCATGAAAGAATCTCACATTCCTTACATCCCTGCCCTGGGTTTGCAGCCAGGCTCTCTTCGCAGGCTTCACACACCGGAAAGGCTTCCCCAACCCAGGACTCAGGGGAAATTAAGTGGGGAGGAGGGGGATGGAGAAGGAGCAGAAAGCTAAGAGGGGTGCATGTGTTTTGCCTGAGGGACTGACAGACGTCTTCCCCGTTCAGAAACTGACTTCATTCTACGTAATAGCAAACGTGGCTCTTAATGAGACGCCTGAGCCACTGTTCTTGGAGATTGAGCTGTGATAGTGATAGTCTCATCTCTTCCTATACAGGTGGTTTTGGAGTCTGACAATAGAGCAAGAAGCTGATAGTTTTCCGCCCAAAGGGAATGGGGTAGACTAGCGGTAGGGAATCTGAGTGATGCAATAATGTTACTACCCTGTGTGTCCAGCCGACTTTGTGGCTGGGCCTGGTTCCCAGTAATTTAAAAGAAGGAACAAGCTTCTTTCAAGCATTTCCTCCCTGGCACTCAGTTCTCTTAAGTTTATTTTGTGTTCTATTACTACAAATATCTTACCTGAGAACAGCAGTATTCAGTATGCTTTCACATTTATTACGTCATTTAATTTTTCAGGACAACATTTAAGGTAGATAAGGCAGGTATCATTTTCCCTACTTGACAGGTGAAGAAACTGAAAACTACTGAAGGATGGCATGGCTTGTTTAAAGTTAGACAGTTGACAGAGCTCAGACCAGAACCCAAGTCTCCTGACTCCTGGTCCTTCCCTCAGTTGAAAAATCCTGTTTTGTTCTGGCCAGGGGAGCATTGAAGTAGGATTGGTTTTCTCTGCATGAGCAACTGTTTGTTTTCTGAGTCTGAAACTTGTCACTAGAAGAAGACTGAACATAGCCAAGAGCACTGGTTCCTGGAAGCATTTCTTGAGCTACAGGTGCATATGCTAGGCTGTTGGGAAATAGGGTGTTGTCAAAATGGAAGAAGCATTATACCCTCCTCTGTTTTATGGATGGGGGAGAAACATATCAACTTCCCCCTCACCCCCAACCACAGGGAAAATGTGTCTGGCATTGCAGCTTTATCTCTAATTAGTTTAAAAATACTACACTAAACGTGGCCTATGAGCATAGTAAACTAATGAGCATGTGTACCAGGCTCAGATGATGAAATGGTCTGTGTTTTATGTATAAAAATCATCATCATACTATTTCTTCCTAACACAGCCCTTAATCTATTCATAGACATGTGATGGTGAGGAAAGGAGTTTGAATAGTCTGCTATTTTCCTGTGGAGTGTGGAATAGGTCTCTCGTCACCCTTTATCTGAAGCCTTGTCTCTGTCTACTTGGTTCCATGCTTTTCGTAATGAGAGTTTGGTCAGCCTAATCATACTGCCACCTCTAGTCTTCCTAATTGCCCACCCAGGAATAATTTCCTGATTCACTGCCTCTTCATTTTTATTTTATTTATTTATTTATTTATTTTGTGTGTGTGAGGAAGATCAGCCCTGAGCTAATATCCGTGCTAATCCTCCTCTTTTTGCTGAGGACGACCAGCTCTGAGCTAACATCTATTGCCAATCCTCCTCCTTTTGTTCCCCAAAGCCCCAGTAGATAGTTGTATGTCATAGCTGCACATCCTTCCAGTTGCTGTATGTGGGACGCGGCCCCAGCATGGACAGAGAAGCGGTGCCTTGGTGCACGCCCGGGATCCGAACCCGGGCCGCCAGCAGCGGAGCGCGCGCACTTAACCGCTAAGCCACGGGGCCGGCCCTGCCTGTTCATTTTTTTTCAAAGCCTGATCTCCTCAGGAATATTTCCCGACTTGAGAAGTAGAATTGCACCTGTACCAACATTCTTGAGTATCTTCTCCTTATGAAATAGTATTTTCCAAGTGGACTGTTGGACCACAATCCTTTCAAATGAAACAATTTATGTGAAAGCACTTTGGAAACATTAAAGCATCATACTATGTGTGTAGGTATCTGGACCTCTGCACTGTGTAGATTTGTATAGATCTCTGCATTCCACAGATGTAGAATCATTGACATTACTTGTAGTAGTGTGCACTGAATAAAAGAATCTTTTTCTATCTCAAACAGTTCCTCTTCTCTACCTTTCTTCTGGTCCCTTTCTCTCCCCTCTCAGCTCTGTTTGAATCTCCTGCACCATGTGTGTGATTCCTTAGCAGTGATCTCACTCCTTAGAGGGTAGTCCTGTATGCCTAGCCCTGAAACCTGTAGTCCTTAGGGGAGTTATCTCATCCTGCTCAACCGACCGCCAGATCCGAGTCTGTCCAGTCTCTGCCAAGTGGAGGTAGTTCCCCTGACTCACCTTTTTCTTCCTTGTTCCTCTTAATAGAGTGCTCCTGATTGTGACATCACATCCATCCACTTGGCAATGGAGTTTGTCACTAGGAAGGAAGACTCAGTCGGAGAATAGCCAACAAGATGGGTTACTGGGAGCGTCTCCTGAGTGGCGCTGATTGGAGGCATCAGGGGGTTGGAGCCTTGTGAACAGGGAACCTGCCCCCCAACACTTGGAAGGTAAAGAGCCTTGAATCAGAATCCCATTCCAGGCTTCATCCCTTTTCTCTGCTAATCTGGGTTCCTTCTGCTCTTGAAAACTCCTTTCTAAAAACTCCTTTCTGCATAAAGCTTTCCATAATTAACCCACATCAGTCTGTTCTTTGCATATTTATGTCTTACATTAACTGTTAACTTTTATTTTTTTATTTTATTTTATTTTTTTGTGAGGGAGATCAGCCCTGAGCTAACATCCGTGCTAATCCTCCTCTTTTTGCTGAGGAAGACTGGCTCTGAGCTAACATCTATTGCCAATCCTCCTCCTTTTTTCCTTCCCCAAAGCCCCAGTAGATAGTTGTATGTCATAGTTGCACATCCTTCTAGTTGCTGTATGTGGGACGCGGCCTCAGCATGGCCAGAGAAGCCGTGCGTCGGTGCGCGCCCGGGATCCGAACCCGGGCCGCCAGTAGCGGAGCGCGCGCACTTAACCGCTAAGCCACCGGGCCAGCCCAACTGTTAACTTTTACTTGTTGGTAAATTGCTTAGTAAATTTTTTATCTTCTTATGTGTCTTATATCCTGTATACTCACTCATTGGGCTCAAGCCTACACCTTAGTTTGAGGACAAGGATTGTGTTTTCTGTTTGTTTTACGTGTCCCTCCTGGCAAGGGGGGCTGTGTCTATAGGATGAAGATGAGGTTTGGGGTAACCACACAATAGTGCTTGGTGTTGGTGACCAAGTGGAGGTCCTCGCTGGCCTTTGCAGCCTGGTAGGCTCACTTTAGGTGTTAGATGAGTGCTTGAAGAATTGTGTGCCCTCTAGATTCTTTTGTAAATTGAACCAATTGAAATGTCCTAAAGAAGCCTAACTTTAAAATCCCCTGAGGTACATCCAGTATGGATCACAGCATTCTAGAATTACACAGAAGCTTAGAGGCAAGCTTAGCCCACCCCCTCGTCTCCCAAGTGAGGAAGCTGAGTTCCTAAGAGGGGGAGTGACTTCAATTCAGGGATTGTACTATTTAAATAAAAAAGATCATTTCCTTTTACTTAAAAAGTCAAGAGAGTTGCCTACAGAGAGCAAGGTCAGTTAGTGGAAAAGCCAAGGAACATTTTATAACATCATTACCCCCTAGTTTACCTGTTTTTGTTTTGTTTTTTTGCTGAGAAAGATTCACTCTGAGCTAACATCTGTTGCCAGTCTTCCTCTTTTTTTTTTTTCTTTGCTTGAGGGAGATCTGCCCTGAGCTAACATCTGTGCCAGTCTTCCTCTATTTTGTATGTGGGTTGCTGCCACAGCATGGCTGATGAGTAGTGTGGGTCTGCGCCCAGAATCCAACCTGTGAACCTGGGCCGCCAAAGTGGAGCGCGCTGAACTTAACCACTATGCCACGGGGTCAGCCCCCCTATTTTTGTTTCATTTGCTGAATCTTAGAATCCTGGAACTTGTGGGGCACCTTAGAACTTATGTAGTCCAGGATGCTTCATTTCTTGTGGAGAAGGGAACTAAGGCCCAGAGAGGTTAGGTAACTTGCCCAAGGTCACACATTTGGTCAGTAATAGAGCTAGAACTAGGACTCAGGTTTCTGGATTCTCGATTCAGTTTTCTTTTTTTCCAGACCTGTTCCTTTACTGGGAGACAGGGAGATATGATGAAATGTTTTAGTGACATCTGTGAGACTATTTACCAGCTAATTTCTTCACTAGGTTGAAGTTCCTAGGAGTCACCTTACTCTGGGAGGTTATAGGGCCCTTTCCCTGTGTGGCTGGCGTTCGTAGTAATTGGGGCTGGAGAGTCCTCAGCCCTCTGCACTCCTGTGTGGTCAGGGTGTGGAGGGGAAAGAATTGGTGGAAGGGAGGCTACACCACACATACCTGGCTTTTACACTTATGCTTTTACCAAGAATTGGGACAGCATGCCCAGTTACCCTAAAATATAAATTATGGGTTGGAGTGGCTTCTCTAAGGTTTCTCTTAGAGTGTGTGTGTGTGTGTGTGTGTGTGTGTGTGAGAGAGAGAGAGAATATACGTGGTTTGCACATCTCTACATGGGTTCAAGAAACCCTGAATAAGTGCAGATAAATGTTTGGGCTCCTTAGGAACAATGTGTTTTGAATTCCTGGCTGTCTCTCAGGGGGACCAGAGAAAACCACGGTAGCAGTAAGTTAAACGGTACAGGAAGGGGTCTGATAGAGATCTTGCATTTTTATAATGATGCTGCCTGGGAACATAGGAAGACCCCAGTGTAGCAGTGAGGAAGTAAAGTAACATAAGGGCCTGGTGTGGTTCTGGCCTGCAGAGTGGGAATGCAGTTTTCAGTTTGGGTTCAGGGTGTTCAAATCAGGGAGGCTGGCAGAACTCCTGAAGCCTGAAGGGATACTTCCGTGCTACTTTAGTTCAGCGCCCCAACTTGGGTGAAACCTTCCAAGGCCTTTTCCTATTCCACAAGTCAAGAGGAATATCCAGGAAATTGTGCTTCCAGTGGCTGTGGTCACTGGCTGTGACTCTTGAGGTCCCTGTGGTTTCAGTTTTATTAAGGCTCCTGCCGCTAGGGCAGTGAACAGCTGAGTTCTTGTGCGGCATTCCCCTTGGAATGAATGATAACCTGCCCCTGTGACAGCCCCACAGCAGTGCAAGCACTAGTCGAGGAGCCTAGCCTGTCAGCTTGACTGTCTGCCTAGGGACAGGGCAAGGCAGACAGGAGCTGGCTTCCAAGGTTGTATATAACCACGGCAATGTTTGTTTCCCATAGATGACAAATAGAGAATATCCTAATTAGATTAGAAATCTAAGTTTCCCCTTGTTCTTGAGGCTGCCCCGCTGAAAGGATGCGGTTGTAGGAGGATGGATAAAGAGGAGACTCTCTAACCAGATAAAGGAAGGATTTGATTTGGAGATGCCCAGCGTCTCTGCAGTTTTGCAAACCCTAACTTTATGGTGGGAAACTTGCAGTTCCTAACCCTGGCTTATGGCTTCCTACAGCCTCTGGCCATCTCTGCACCAAGTGAGGCAAGTTCTCTGCTGTTTATTTTGGGGATGTGGGACCTCCTGAGACCCCATTAAGATAAGTTTTCAGAATTTGTATTCCTCCTTAAGACAATATTGTTAGCATTGATTTAAAGTGAAAGTGCAATGAGGCACAGTACAAATTCGAGGCCTGTTTCTACATTGCCCCATAGCAACGAGGGAGAAAAGGGCAATGCTATTTTAGTTTTGGCCTCTTGCCCTAAGGATAACTGATTTTTTTTTTTTTTTGGTGAGGAAGATCAGCCCTAAGCTAACTTCCGATGCCAATCCTCCTCTTTTTGCTGAGGAAGATTGGCCCTGGGCCAACATCTGTGCCCCTCTTCCTCCACTTTATATGGGACGCTACCCCAGCACGGCTTGACAAGCGGTCCATCGGTGCGCACCCGGGATCTGAACCTGTGAACCCTGGGTCGCCGAAGCAGAGCGCACGCACCCAACCACTATGCTACCGGGCCGGCCCCAGGATAACTGATTTTTTAAAAATTTATATCTTGCAGAAATATATAACCTAGATCAAAAGTGCAATCTCAGCATCTCGATTTTAAAAACGTGTACACTACATATGTTACTTTTTATTTTTTAAATTGCCCTTATAAAAATGGCACCATACTATACTATTTTGTCAACTTGCATTTTTCAGTTTGGGACGCAGTGTTGCACAGTGGTTAAAGCATGGGCGCTGGTGCCAGTCTGCCTGGGTTTGAATCTGGCTCCACCACTTCTTGGCTGTACGGCTTTGGACAAGCTCTTTAACCATCGTGTCTCTGTTACTCATCTGTAAAATGTGGATGATGACAGTCCCAGCCTCAGAGCGTCACTCGTGGAGTTGTAAGAATTAGATGAGTTAATGTATGAGAAATACTTAGAATAGTGCCTAGCGTATAGTAACGCTCAATAAATGTTGACTTTGTTATTATTTAATTGTGTAAGTAAAACATGATCATCGTAGAAAAAGTAGGGAAAACCAATAAAGCAAAACTGTGACTGAAATTAAAAGTACTAAAAGTCTATACCTAGAGACAGCTTCTCTAATATATATCTTTCCAGATGCTCTCCAATATAATGTGTACACACATAAATGTAAATATACTTTTTAAACAAAAATGGCACTAGAGCGTATATAATATGTATAAATATATTACTTTATTATATAAATAATAAATATATTTAAATAATTTAAATAATAAGAAATATGTCTGTCATATTAATGCTACATGGTATCCCATTTTTTGGATGTAAGGAATTCTGCTGGATATTTGTGGTATTTCTGGGTTGTTTTATTATGAACAATGCTTAGATAAACAACCTGGTATATTGTTTTGACATCCTTGTATAATTATTTCCTTAGGCTAAGTTCCTGGAAGTAGGATTGCTAAGTAAAAGGGCATATACTTTTTTTAGGACATTTGCTATTTTTTTTGGTGTGATTCAATTTGATCAACTTTTTCTTTCAAGAGTACATTTTTTTCCAGACTTTGCTCTAGTATATAACATGTTAAATGTGTATGTCATATATCTTGTATGACATATATGACATGTATAGTATATGACACATTAAGTGAATATTTTAGACATGTTTTTTGTTTTAACCTTAATGGCAGTTTCCTATGTATCCTTCTGAAGTGTTCCATGCATATGTAAGCATATACACATACATATTGTTTTTTGCACTCATGGTGGCATACTTTACATACACTATTCTATACCTTAGTTTCTTTCTCTTAACAATATGTCTTGGAAGTCTTTTCATACCTGGTACCTTTTAAAGACAGCAATGATTTTTTTTTTTCCTCTCATTAATTTTATAGCTATTGTAGAGAAACCAAATTACAATTTGTTTATTTACTTGAGGTTTATATTGTCAAGTCAGCAGTTTAGTAGATGAATGATGGATATTTGGGAATGTTTTTGCTACCATGTAGATGTTGTCTCATCTCTTCTTAACTTTGTCTCCTGCCCCTCCCCCTTCCTCCCAGCCCTGTGTGTGTCTGGAT